TGTACCCATCTAGTGGCTGTGGTGTATGCCACACCACAGCTCCCTTGGGAGAGTGACGCTTTTTCTTAGCCTTCTAACTAGCAAAAGGTCTTTGAGCGCTGGTTGGCGTCCTTATGAGGGACCTCTTAAACGGAATACGTACCTGACTCTAGCGTACGCACCATTACATCGATGTCTCTCAATCTTATACATGAATATTGCCTAGTTCGCCAGTAGTATCCATAAAACGCTTGCGGCGGGCTCGAGCATGTTTTAGATGTAATGGTGTAAATGGGTTTGCAACAGTGTGGAAAAAGTCGCGTCCAATAGCGATGTCGTCATCAGGCTTAAGTATGATATTCCTCCGAGTTAATCTGTAAGCACCATTAGCAGTGCATGATAAGCTTAAGGACCAGACCGATCTGCTAAGAGTGCTAGTAGAAGCGCAAAGTCGATAAAAATAAGTGAACATGGATTCAACGACCAAATGTATTAACTTATTTTCCCTAAAATATGTTTACCACGCCTTCCTCCAGCCTTTTGACCAATCTGGTCCTTCATTTGCCTAGTTACCTACTCCAACCAAAATTGCTACTCTATTTTCAATGAGACATCGAGATTACGGTGGTTCTTCTTCGCGCTACGCGAGAGCCGGCACTTTCTCCATCCCGGACTCCGAATTTCAACGTGGCAATACGACTCTTAAGCGGCGCAGCAATCTCTCCATTAGTACTACACCATTTCCTTCCGTCATATCAAATATCAATACCACCATGCGCGCGAAGTCCAAGTCGCGCGCCCGCACTCAGCCCTCCAAGACGCCAGGTCAGGAGTTTTTTGCGCTAGGTAGCAATCGTTCTACTGGTGCTTCTACGCTTAACACCAATAAAGCTAGCTTCTACCGCCGTCCTGAATCCGGTAAGGTTTCGCCCTCTGCAGTAGCTGCAGCCAGAGCGAGGTCACGTTCGTCCGGTATGCGAAGTAGCCGATGGGACAATTCATCACACCCAGGCACTACAAGCTGTCGCAATACATCGCCCTTTGCAACCCGAATGAGGACGAAGTCCGCTATGAGAGAGCTACAGGATACGAGTGCAGCCATTCATCACAGAGAGCATGATGCTTCCGTCAGACGCAGTGGTAAAGAACCAACAAATTTATCAAACAAGTCTAATGTGGCGACTGATCGCGCTATTATTGCTAAAGAGAGTAGCAAAAGTAGCAGCGGGAACAAGCGGGAGCGCTCAAAGTCAAAAACACGCGAGCGGAATAGAAAACGACGAGGACGTGAGCGATCTTCGACTCGTGACCGGCACTCTCGGCGATCGAGAACAGCCGACATAAGTGATGACGAGAACAAAGTTCCTAAGAAAATGTTGCGTAGTAGCCGACATTGGAGTAGAGGCGGCAGTGATCTTCAGGAGATTGAGAATGCCATTGGAGATACTGAACGAGAATTAAAGCCGATGATGAAACAATTGGAGGAGCTAAAGGATCAATTGAAAAAGCTGCAAAAGCGCGTTGAGACTAAGGAAATTGAGATATATGATCTTCAGGTTGATCTAGACGCGCTCAGAAAACGTCGAGAGCGACGGTTGCCTTCACATCATAGCGCCAGTAGCTGCAATGAAGAACCTTTTAAAAGATCTAGAAGCAAAAGCGAGCGACGTAACAGCCGGCGGTCCAAGAGCCATGTGTCGAAACGTCCATGTATTGTGGATGAAGATGATGAAAGTAGCGATGATGACTGTGTAATTGTGGATAAGAACGAAGTGAAGGAAGAAGCGAAACCGAATGCAATGGCAATATCGAGCACTGTCGTACCCATTGAAGACTCGATGCCCGACCATTTTTGGGGTCGCTCGACAGAACCAAAGCTGCTGGCAAATTACCGTTTTCGTGCGATTCCAGACGGTAGTGTACGTAAAGGCCGTCATCTTGCTTTCAACCCAATTCAGCCTCAAATCTTTGCCACCAGTCCTGATGAAGGTGGTCTGATCTTGTGGAGCTACCAACGTCAGGATCAAGACATTTCAAAGGTGGTGACTCTCACGCCACCTTCGTTTCGCCGAGATAATCCGTGTGCCGAGTCTATCGCGTGGAGCCCGGATGGAAATCGTATGGCCATGGCGTTTCGAGATCCTGTTGAGGAAAAAGGAGAATTTTGCGTTGTGCAGCTCCATCAGCTTAAGCTTGAAGATAGCGACAAGCCGCAACCGATTCCACGTGACCGCATCACGTCGAAGTGCACAACGTTGCACTCACGAGGAATTTCTGCCATCGACTGGCTGCCAAGTGGGTTCGGTTCGGAGACCACAAGTCATCTTTTGGTCACAACTGGCAACTCGGATCATGCTGTTGTGCTGTGGGAAGAGCACGAAGTCGGACAGCAAGATGGCTTGGACTTTAAGTTTAATGTCTTGCATCGGGATCATCGCAGTGAGGTGAAGTCGCTCTGTGTTCACTCGAAGCGTGAGTGTTTGTTTACCGGCGGTCTTGACGGTTTACTTATCCGATATGACCTGAACAAGGGGAGCAGTAGCATTGTGATGGAACGTCGAAAGCCAAATATTTCTAAAATAAATTCGATACTGGAACATCCACACAATCCAAACATGCTTTTGGTCAGCTCGGTGGAACAGAGTAGACACGATCTGTTGCTTTATGACCTGCGCCAGCGTTATGACCATACGACTATGTCACTAACATGGGAGGGCACCTCGATGAGTCAGTACGTCGTGCCAAGGTGGTCGCCTGCCGGTTATCATGTTTCTTGTGGCAGCAAAACAGGGGTTGTGAACATTTGGGATGTACGCATGCGCGGTGAAAATTACCCTAGAGTGCGCCCGCATCAATCCCTTCGCGTGCATCGTACGTTTGTTAGTTGTTTGATAAGGATATGTGATATTCAAGCTCTACGTTATATTTACTGTTGTATTTTGTGTAGATAAAACCGTGCTCCACGCTACATGGCATCCGCGCTATGACGCAATGTTTAGTGTTTCTCATGATCGGACACTCGGACTGCTTACTTTTCGATAAGGTAGTCGTTCCGCTGCTTTCGTAGATTTCAAGTTGCATCCATCAAACGCCGTCTTGCTACTTTAATGTTGTGATCAAAGCTGTATTATTTTTCCTTCAGCGACGTTTTTATTTCCGCAACGAATAGCGATTAAATGGCGTTCTCCAAGCGCTTTAGTGTGCATATCCATCCATACATGCATCATGCGTGTCATGATTTTCTAAAATGTGTCATTATTAGAAAGACAGTACGCAAGGTAGGACATTATGCTATTCTCTAGTTTAGCTTCTGCGTCATCGTGGACCACAAATATTGATCAAATGCTCAATATCTGTAATGGCAACGGCGCATGACATCATAGCACTTCATCTGCTTGATGCGTTTCCCTCCGCAAACCGATCTACTTGGACTTACTATCTGAAGATGAAAGATGCACGGGAACCTGGTTTCCAGACTCTCTTTAAAGTGATTGGCAGCCGTAGATGACGGCTATATCCATTTGCATTTTTGCCAGTTTGCTCGTCCATCTGTAACCCTGCGACACCGTGAAGAAGAACTATGTTGACTGAACTGTTGCAGAGCTACTATGAGTGGGCCAACACTACGGAAATCAAGCTTCTTGACTGGGTCGACCCTGAAGGAGGCTGGAAAGTCCATCCCATGGCTGATTACCCGCTGGCCAACTTTGCGAGCGTCTACGCCATCTGTATTGGCTACCTGCTCTTTGTCATCTTTGGCACGGTGCGTACATCAATTTCATTGACCTACCAATCATTATCTGACACTGTGCTACTTCTATTGCATAGGCACTGATGAAAATGGGCATCCCCGCTATCAATACCAGCCCACTTCAGTTCATCTATAACCCTATACAGGTTATCGCTTGCTCTTACATGTGCGTGGAGGCCGCTATCCAAGCCTATCGCAATGGGTACTCACCGGCTCCATGCAACGCCTTCCAGGCGACTGCTCCGGTTATGGGCAACGTGCTCTACCTCTTTTACCTTTCCAAGATGCTCGATCTGTGTGATACGGTATTCATCATTCTTGGCAAGAAATGGAAACAGCTTTCTATACTGCACGTATATCACCACCTCACCGTACTTTTTGTCTACTATGTGACATTCCGTGCTGCCCAAGACGGTGACTCGTATGTCACCATTGTGCTCAACGGCTTTGTGCATACGATCATGTACACATACTATTTTGTCAGTGCTCACACGCGCAATATTTGGTGGAAAAAGTATCTCACGCGTATACAGCTTATTCAATTCATAACTATGAATGTTCAAGGTTACCTGACGTATTCTCGCCAATGCCCTGGCATGCCTCCAAAAGTGCCTCTTATGTACCTCGTGTACGTGCAGTCACTCTTCTGGCTTTTCATGAATTTCTACATTCGCGCGTATGTGTTCGGTCCGAAGAAGTTAGCTGTGGAGGATTCTAAAAAGAAGAGTTAAGCAACACAATAGTTTATTCTCAAATAGCATCTCTTTATGTCCTTTATTAATGGTCAATAGTTTTAAATACCTAGATGCAATTTCTAAGAAAGCTAAAATCTATATTAACAAAAATTGCTAACTCAGTTTGAAACCTTAGTGTCGAACTATTTTTTCTTTTTCATATGTGAAAGTTTTTTGTGGCGCTTTTTCAAATGCTTCGGTATCTTTGTCTCACGCTTGGCCTTCTTTTCCTCCTTCATTACTTGCTTGTGTAATTTCTTGCTCTGCTTGTCCAAAGCTTTTTGTTTTTCACGATCTTCACGCTTTTCTTGCCGATACAAGGAACGCTGTATGTCAGTGAGTGGCCCATCCGACGATCTTGATCTTTCTGGCTCATCGACTTCATAACCGTTGTCTTGATCACTGTCATCTTCCGCATCTATGTCGTCCTCTTCATCACAAGAGTCAATCTCCCGATCATCTTCCTCATTGAGCAAATCCATGATACGTGCGCCTCGCGCTACCGAGCCTGGCGTGGTAATTTGCTCTAACTCAAGGCGCGATATTGCTGTCACAAATGCCTTTTCCATTGTACCATCTTGATACGCGAGCTGCTCGCGCTCCGAGTGCAGCACCTCGCCGAACGAGCGAGGGATAAAAGTGTTCATGAATACCGCCTCGTCAACTTGCTCCTCATTGGTGCGCTCCACCGGTCGGTCAGCTATCATGCGCTGAACTGCTTCAAGATGATCATCCACATCGTCATCAGCAATGCACAGATTTGTGACAAAATCGAATAATTCTTGCGTTGTCATGGGGTTCAGCGCGCCTGTCTTGCAAAAAAAGTCGGTAATATTACGACAGTCGTTGCGTAAGAAATCGTTGGCACTTGGATGCTCATGCTCGACGGATTGCGACACGTCTATAATATAGAGTTTAGCCTGGTAGTACAAAATATTGTACTCGCTCAAGTCACCGTGCACCAAGCGGCACTTCTGGTACATGTTGCGCATCATTTTGATGCACTGAATATAGCATTCTCGGTAGCGATTATCGCTAATTTTGGCGTCTTTGAGGCGAGGGGCAGCCCAGCCGTCATGACCAATAAAGTCCATGAGCAGCACATGCGAGCGCAACATTATGGGTGTGGGACAGTGAATATCAGCATCTCGAAGGCGTCGCAAGTTGCGCATCTCTTTCTCGGCCCAAAGCTTGACCATCTTGCGCGGATTTTTCTTCGAATAGCCATGGCGAAAGCGAAATTCACCTGATACGTACTTGTCGCGGTCCTTGAACACCAAGATAGACGTCTTATAGACCTTTATGGCACACTCACGGCCTTCTTGTAGACGTGCGTGGTACACGTTCGCTTCCTTGCCTGTACTCAGACAGCCGTTTATCTCAATTACAATGCCATGGTTCAGCATTCTGTACAGAATCATGCGGGTACGCGGGTCCAGTACCTGCTCTGTTGTAGCCCGGTCATCACGGCCTGTGTGACGGGTGCGACCACTCTCCTCATTGCGCAGTGTACGCGCCAACTGATTTTCGGCCGACTTCGTGAGACAGAAGTTGTCTTCGTTAATCATCCTCAGCCAACCGAATAATGATGCAGTGTCGTCCGGATAAAAACAATAAAAAGTTACACTACTATTAGTTTCTTATGGATGAGGAAAAAGTCCGGGTGTACGCGGATGTGGCGGCGCAGATGATGGAGCTCCATGCGTCCATTGCACTGCTTACGCAGAACTTAGAAAAGATAGCACGTACTGACAAGGAGGTCACCTCCATGACCCGGATTTTTAACGGCGTGTAAGTGTGAAACAAAAGTCGACACTTATCAACCTACTAAACCTGTTGTCATGACGATCTATTGTAGATTTCAAAACGCCGCGCAGCAGACAAATTACAGAAAATCTTCGCCATCAAAATAAACATTCTTTTTATCCTTAATTTTGCTAGAAAGAAAAGAAACATAGCTTCTACTTCGGTTGCCACAAAAAAAATTCTTCCGTTGCTCATATTTTTACACGTTTGTTTTAGCGTATACAGGAGTATGCTGCAAACTGTGGCGTAGTGAATTCTGAGATTGACCAGTCGAGCATTTGGGTTTCGCGCGGTGCGTAGATTTTTACCTGTCGGATGTGCGTGTCGCGTCCGTTTTGGTGCATAGCGAGAATCACGATTTGCAAGAAAAATGTGCGCAGAGGGGCCTACCACAGCAAAAGTTTGCACAAAGGATCGATCGCTAGAAATTATAGGACTTATCAAATGTATTGTTAGCAAACCTGCTTCGATCCGTCCATCACGTGTAGCGGGATGAAAACCCAGCCGTCAGGTTCTGCAAAGTGCTGCACGTTGATCTCTTTCAGGTCGTGCACCGTTGAGCCGCTGAGAATGACAATTTTCTTTGGAGTATAACTCTCATCCAGCTTATAGTCCATATAAAGTGCCACCTCTTTGATAGTCATCTTGCGAGGAAACTGAATACTTATAACGTGCGGCTGCATGCCGTCAGACTGCCAGTATGTGTCCGTGTTGTCTGTCAGTAGCAATATCATTGTACGAAGCTATTGACAATCGTCCCTTGTTAATCACATTTTCCGCAGAAGCACGCACTATCACGTAGCTGATCTACGCCGTTGCCTGGTTTAGCTGAAGATAGCGACCACACTGCTCCGTCTCCCACTTCGCGTCGACTTTCCGCCATTTATCAAGATTGTCGAAAGTTTTAAAACAATCAAGTTTTCGCATTGTTTTTGACCAATTGTTACTAACTAATGCAATTAGTAGGCGCAAGGGCATTTTGCATTTTTCAAGTGGACAGAAATAGTCAAGGTATGTTTCTACACATCTGACGGAACGGCTTGGGATATTAGAGACGTCACCGCAGTCAGTTCTTAAAGTCTGTCTTCGCGACGGGATTGCCGAGCACATCACACAGAGCAAGCTTTGACTCAACGAGTCAGCATTAACAAACATACAGAGGATGATCTCGTACGCTTCGCCTAGCGAGAGCCTGGAAAATGTACAGGTATCATTTATTTTCAAGAGTGACATAAATACCACATTAATTTGTTTTAAATCTCATGAATAATCAAACTCTATGTACTGCAAAGAATGAGGCAAAATAAAAAGCCCATTTGGTATTCGTACCAGTATTTGTAATAATATTTACATAGCACCGTAATTTGGTATTTAAGAGGTTGACCTGAACAATCCCACAACTACTGTTTCACTCATACTCACTTGTCTTGTCGTTTTAAGACATTGCGCAACAATAAATAATCCACGAGCACCAATTGCACCGTTTTTTTCCACTGCACCCTAGCGTGCTTGGTCTTCTGAGCGAAACTCGTATCAAGAGTCTTCTACCATACCAATCCACATGGCCCTGCAAAACACTTGCATAGGCGCTCTCCAAGCTATACTCGATGAAGCAGCTAGGGCGCTCTCAGATTAGATCTACCACACCAACTCTCCGAATTTTGAACCGGTACCTATTTTTCTCGTGCATCAAAATCGTTTTTGTGCTGAGGGCATTCCCCCAGACCGAGGCATTCTCCTCGCTTCGCCTCACCTATGCCAAGCTGCAAAGTATGTACCCTTCCTCATCTGAGGAGGGTTAAACGCCACTCCGCCGCGAACTTCACCTCGAATTTCGGCTCGTTTTTAATGATGTTTGACTGGTCTAGAGAGTCGTCTGTAAGCCCAAGGATCACAACAACATTCTATATAAACTCAATTACGTCGTGCTATAAATCAAATCCAAAAAATGCCCACCACGGTGACACCCTTACACGCTTATGCGTGCGAGGCCATTGCTCAATTAAAGAGCGAAAGGAGCCTATGAAAGTCGACCCACCAGCGCTTTCCAATCCCTCAGGTCATTTCTTCTCAGGGTATCTTATGTGAAAGGCGTCAAAATTGTATCGTTTGAATATACACACTACACCGTTGCCCCTCGGAATCAGCTCAGAAGTACCAAAGTACCGGTATTGGCGAGAGTGAAGGGAGATCTAGAAATACATCTCACGTCATGCAATGTAAATACTTTTGTTACTGAACGCAGTAAGACGAAAATGTATTGTATCATTATGAAGTAGATTTTTTGGTTGATAAAATCGATGCTGAAATTAATAGCACACTAAATAGTAAATTCCGGCTGCTTATGAGGATCTCGTGGGTAGAGCGTACAAGTCCGTCCTATGTACTTAACGCGAACTCGTATAGCAAAAGCTTTCTCTGTTGTGCACGTCTGCCCAGTCACACTTGATAGTATTTAACCTTTATTTATATTTGACGACCGCTTCATGTTAATTGCCTTTGCGCCGGGGGCACAAGAGATGCCCGACAATCTGTACTTAGGACACCTGGGCGCGCTTAAGTGCTAATCCCTATACAATTGGTTCTGAAGGAATAAGGCAGTAGATGGTCCAAGGATCGGAAGCAATATTTTTGTTTGGCGGTGTTCACCGGCTATGAAAATGCGGCGGCGAGACACATCCAGCAACGTTTCAGAAAGACATCGGTGAAGACCAACAGTCGTCGATTACAAGACTAATTATTCTAGACAATTTATATTTAAGCCGCAAAACGGGGGAAGCCACTAGCTCTTCCTGAGCGTAATGGGCTTACACGTACCCTTGGTCGGGTCACACGAGATGGTGTGACCGTACATAGGTGTGGATTACACAAGTTGGCGTAATCACACAGTGGTGTGGCTACACCGTCACAAGAAGCCACTACGTGACAGGACTGCCAGTAGTAATGCATATTAATTAGGTATTACTATATAAATTACGAAAACCTAAGGTTTTTATATTGGCGGCTCTGTCGCAACTAAAGCAATTAAATACACTTTTAACTTCGAATGGAAGAGCTTCTTAGCCTTGGTTAAGGTTTTTATGTACTCTTGGAGGCAGCGGAGTGCGATCCGCTGCGCTCGTACTGATTCTTGTATAGAACGTTTGGTCGGTGACCTTAGCTTAGCTTCCTCTAAGCAAAGAGCTACGGCAGCCCCCTGAGTCGACTGATCCTCTGTGAGGATGCAGCAATACTTCTATTTACCCCAGAGTATGACGGGCGAGCTTACTAAGCTGATTTTCCTGCTGGTCACTGAGAAGTGCGCCCTAGAGGCGTTTTCGGGCTATGAAAACGCTCTGCAAGAGAACCTACAGCAGATGCTGTTGATATCGACTGCGTCCATGACGCCACTGTCGACGAGGAACAACTCCTACCGACCCAGGCCGCTCATTGTGAGCGTTGAGACCTTCGAGGGTAAGGATTGGATAGAATCTCCTGCTCTGGGTGAGAGAGGCCGAGATGACTATGACATCCGCCATGCTTTAGAACGAGCAACAGCACGTGGCGCTAGCTATCTCCAAGCTCGAGGGCCGAGCGCAAGAATGGGCACTAACGTGCTGTGCTTCGGTTAGAGCGGCGCCCCTCCTGGAAGGAGCTGAACCTGCAGCTTTTGCAAGCGCCTAACCAGGCATATCGCATGCGATCGCATTCGCTTGCCGTTCGACAGGGCAAGAAAGAGTTGGTGGACTTTTTTCGAGAGTTGCGTACTCATTGCTGGAATGGCAGCCAATCCTCCCCGAGGCGGTCATAGTTACCGTCTTTATGGAGGGCCTCTACACTGGCGTGACCAAAATGGAAGTCCTCCGTGTGCATCCGTCTTCTTTTAAAGGAGCGGTGAATGTAGCAATGAATGCCGAAATACAGCATAAGTCGGCAACTCTTGGTTGGAATGCACACTCTCATAGCTCGTCGAGCGGGCCTGAGCCAATGGATATCAGCTATGCTGAGAAAGCGGAGATAGAGCTCCGAGCTACCGGGCAGCGTTCGAGCACCCGACGGTGCTGTGTCTGTGGAGCTGACGCGCCTTGTGCAGGGAACAACCAGACACTAGTCACCTTCGGACTCGGACTGGTTGTTCCCTGCACAAGGCGCGTCAAGGTTCATCAAACCGACGTTCCGCTTCTCACCAGTCTTCTGCTTTCTCGCGAGGAAACGAAAACACCCAGTATGCACGATAGGCCCTACTTGGGGAGTACTGAATTCTGTTGAGCCTCAAAGAGGTAGAGGGCAGCAGGGCCTAGTCCTGAAAAGCCCCGTGCTCTTGAAGACGGAACGTTAATGCAATCCAGGCTTGCTGGTCGTAAAAGCGACCGTGAAGGGCTTTGAGAAGCCATGGAAGTTCCTAATCGACTCCGGGACGCCGAGCATTTATGCTCGAAGCTCCATGGCTGAAAAAAGTCAGCTGTATGCCGAGGCACTGAATGCGTGATTTAGTGACACCGTCACTGCTCGCTTAGGGATGGGGACTTGTATCACTGAGCCGAGGGTGGTTCACAGGGACCATGTGGACCTCGGTGCTAAGTTTCTTGACTTCGGTAGCGTGAAATGCTGCTTAGGCTTAGACTTGAATTCGAGGTATAACCTTATCCTTGGTATGGCATGGTTGAAACACCATGCACCATGGATTGATTGGAGGTCGAAGACCTTGGGCGCTGCTCGCACGACTCTTGGTGGAGCTTTGGCGGGTCATGAACCCACCTCTGCTAGGAAGCAGAAGCGCAAATAAGCGCCGGCACTGGACCGGGACGGTCAACGTGCTGGATGTCGAAGCATCCGAGTCGTCGAACATTGAAGGTGTATTGGACAAGAGCCCTAGCATGCTCGCGGGCTGAACGTGGAGCGGAACATCACCCAATGAGCACTTCTCAAGTTACGAAGCAGTTGCATGCCAAGAGTGGTATGATCGGACAAGGTCCGAGGCATCGAGGGTAAGGCCCTAGTGATACGCGTGGGGTGGCACGTAATCCACCGAGCACTGCTCACGCTACGAAGCAGTTGCTGCATGCTAAGATGGTCGGACGACGTCCGAGGCATCTTGGACGAGGCTTTTCTGATACAAGTGGAGTGGCACGTTATCCACTAAACGAAGACTGCGGAAATAGCAGCTCTTTGTCGGATGCTGTTAATACCATTAAGGCTTCGATGGAGAAGGAAGTGGGGACATTGGACCACGCTGAATGCTTGCGCCTACAAATCTCGATGAGACGTAAAACTTCTATAGAGAGGAGATGGCGATGCCGAATGTTATCTGCAAGACATAAGGCGTCGACCCTGACTTAGGGTGTATCTACTGTAGACGATAGCACACAGCTATATACCCTTGTCAACAGTATGACGGGAGAGGAAGACGGCAACGTCACCCTCAAGGCTATTCCGCGGTGGATGCTCTTCTTGATCTTTACGAGATGCCCTTCGAAGAGTTTTGCGGTGCCTTGAAGGCAGGCGATTGAGCCGAGGTGGTGATTATACGACCGAACGAGGAGCTTAACTCGTCGTCGCTTCTGGATGAAGCTGTCCTAGAGGACACCAAGAGAGTGCTGAACGCACAAAGTGGATCGTTGATCCTGACGGATCCCTTGGATCCGTGCTATCCTTGGTAAAGGATTTCAAGACGTCGTCTCCAAAGAACCGCCGTTGGTCCTACCTCTGCACCGAAGTGTGCGTCGTGAGTTTGACCTGGTTCCGGTAACCAAATACTGCGTAACACGCGAGTAGATCCCGCTACGGTCAAGGCCATTGTGGACTGGCCGGCTCCAAAAACCAAAAGAACTTTCGAAAATGGTTGGCCTCGCCAACTACTTGCACAAGTATAGCGCGAAGTATGCGGAAATGGCACGGCCACTG